CCCTGTTATTTTCTGTTTTACACGGTATTTCTTTCATATGAAACTTCCCACGTCAAGTTCTCGGTAAGCAATCTTGCAATGAAATGGGATTAAATTGCCCACCTCAAAAAACCCATTGCCCTTCATGGGGAGGAACCTTGGCCCTTAAAGCACTCTTCTTGGGCCCCGGAGACTTCACTTCTTTGTATGCTACACACTTACATCGCAACCAGTTAGTAAAATGTAATAAAAATAAGCACTTGGTACCATAAAGCCGGATTTCACATTCAGTTCGTAGAAAAGGTACAGCGCAGGCTCTTTTCAGGGGTCAAGAAAATTATAAAAACTGGAATTTTAATACATTCTCACAAAAGTACTATGTCATATTCAACTGAAAAGTTTGGTTTCATGATAATAAACATTTATTTATAATATTACACTGATAGGAAAAGTTATGCAGTCTTTGTACAATGCAAAATAAAGTAGCAGTTGAACTTACTTGAACTGACATGCATCAGAAAGTATTACATAAACATTTGAAGTATGTAACATAGAGTAATATCTACAATTCATTTTACACCATTTTACAATACCACGACCCTCACATTCCTTTGGCAATCGAATTAAACAGAAAATTTATTCCGCTGCCATCTCTGCTGTTGCAACTCAAGAAATGTTTCTGATTTTTTTCGAACCAACAGCAATAAAGAAACCATATATGATAATGATCTTGATGATAAAACTATTATCAATAATAATAATTAACTGAGAACAATAATAATGAAAATGATAATCATCATATTGCTAAGAAGAAAAGAAATACATATATATGATATTTAATGGCAATGAAATGATAATAATAATGATAATAAATCTCATGACAATAATAATAATAACTATTGTCATTATTATTCATATTATTATTTTTATCATTATTATTATGATTATAACAGTAATGGTGATAATATTGATAGCGGAAATGAAAATAATGATCAGCCATGCTATATCCCTTTCGGGGCGTATTAGACAAGAAAGGGCTTCCATAAATATCCACCATGCACGGCTGCCTTGGGTATTCGCAACTGCAGCAAACTAATGTGCATAAAACCGTTTATTTTCAGTTGTATGTACATATAAAATTAGCAATAAATGTACAAAAAAAGTTTTCGTTATATAAACTCTAATTATGCGAGTATAAAAGATAATTACATCGGACAGAGTATCATTTTATGCCGTGCTGTACATCATTTTTAAAAGTGCTTTGAAATGGAATAATTTTCTTTCTGTAATTAGTATATGAAAAGCAATATACATTTTTCTTACATGCTTCGTAACAAAATGAACACAGGAAACGAGTGTCACATAGACAATCACTCAATACATAAACTCTAAAATATATATATATAACGTACTATATACAATAAAAGAATCATACACATGAGTATTTATAGCACAATGTTTAAAGCTAGTCTTCACATAATTTTGCGTTGCCTTAGTCTAATGCCTCAGCACATGAGTCCACACTTCAGCCACTGCAAAGGAAAATGGTGAGGTTTGGTGAACGAGGATTTTGTTTTCGTCTCTCTCTCTCTCTCTCTCTCTCTCTCTCTCTCTCTCTCTCTCTCTCTCTCTCCTCTCTCTCTCTCTCTCTCTCTCTCTCTCTCTCTCTTCTCTCTTTATTTCTCTCTCTATTTCTCTCCTCTTATTTCTCTTCCTCTTTATTTCTCTTCCTCTTTATCTCTCTTCCTCTTCATATCTCTCTCTTCCTCTTTATCTCTCTTTCCTCTTTCTTTATCTTTTTCTCTTCTCTTTTTTCTTTCTCTTTTTTTCTTCTTTTTCTCTTTCTCACTCTTTCTCTTTCTCTCTCTTTTTTCTTTATCTCTCACTCTCTCTTTTCCTCTCACTCTCTCTCTCTCTCTCTCTCTCTCTCTCTCTCTCTCTCTCTCTCTCTCTCTCTCTCTCTCTCTCTCTCTCTCTCTCTCTCTCTCTCTCTCTCTCTCTCTATCTCTCTTCTCTCTCTTCTTTATTTCTCTTTCTCTTTATTTCTATTTCTCTTTATTTCTATTTTCTCTTTTTTCTCTTTCTTTTATTCCTCTTTATCTCTTTCCTCTTCATCTCTCTTCTTTCTCTCTTTATCTTTATCTCTCTTCCTCTTTATCTCTTTCATCTCTTTTTTTCTTTCTCCCTCTTTTTCTTTCTCACTCTTTCTCTTTCTCTTTTTTTCTTTCTCACTCTTTTTCTTTCTCTCTCTTTTTTCTTTATCTCTCACTCTCTCTTTTCCTCTCACTCTCTCTTTATCTCTCTCTCTCTCTCTCTCTCTCTCTCTCTCTCTCTCTCTCTCTCTCTCTCTCTCTCTCTCTCTCTCTCTCTCTCTCTCTCTCTCTCTCTCTCTCTCATACATACACACGCATTTCCCCTTTCTCTATGCCCTACTCATTTTATTCCTCCTTTTTCTTCTTTTTTTCCTTATTGTTTTTATCACCCTTCTGCTTCTCCTTTTCTCCTTCCTTCCTTGAGATGCCTTCCTTCCTTCCTTGAGATGTCTCTCTTTCCCTCTCTTTCTCTCTCTCACACAACACTCTCACTCACTCTCTCTCACTCTCTCACTCACACACACACACTCACTCACTCACTCACTCACTCACTCACTCACTCCTCTCACTCACTCTCTCTCTCTCTCTCTCTCTTCTCTCTCTCTCTCTCTCTCTCTTCTCTCTCCTCACTCACTCACTCACTCACTCACTCACTCACTCACTCACTCACTCACTCACTCACTCACTCACTCACTCACTCACTCACTCACTCTCTCTCTTACACACCACACACACACACGTTTGCTCACACACACACACACACATTACATATGCATATTTGTAGATCTGTAAATACTCAGACCGACGACAACAGGTCTTATCCATCAATTTATGATCATTTTATGCTTCAAGATCATGCCACAAAATGCAAAAAGAAAAAACAAACCTCGCCCAGTGAGAATTTGACGGCGCCGTTCTGTAGAGGGTCTCGCTTCTCAAAAATATCTGAAAAGGTGAAGGAACATCATGAAAAACCACTTCACTGTGATAAATTGTACGTGAACCCATTATGTATAAATCATCATTCTAAAAAGACAAGGAAAAGAATTGATTCATTGATTGCAAATAAAGCGTGACACTCACTGAACGCAACGGAGAGGTGGAGCACTGCGCTGACAAAGTCCCCGAACCTTAGCGTTCCGTCTTTTCTCATGTAGCGAAGCACCAGTGTGGACACAACCTCCGTGTTCAGTTGAAATCCTGAGATAAATCATGGGGTGTGAATATAATCTGCACTTGAGGCATAATCAAACATATTCTGACATGTTTTTATGACAGACCATAAAAGGTGCTGTCTACCCTGGCATCTGTAGTTTCTTCGAGTTTGTTTTTTATGCTTGTTTAGGTAATATTGCTTCAGTGATGCTATGTAATGTTTCCACAGTAATTGCAAGTTACAACATACAGCCTGTAGTACAGTAGACCAAGAATTGTAGTTGAACTCCCAGAACTCCATATGACTTAAAATGAAAATAATCATAAATGTCATTTCAAACACTCCCCTTTTTTCCTTCCTTACCGCATAAAGATGGTAAGAAGAAGACAGAAATACTGACCGACATCTTCTAAGGCATCCCGAAGTCTCTCAGCTTTCAGGATTCCAGTTCGCTCTTTTGTGTGGCTCTTGAAGGCATTCTGCCAGAATTTCAGACTCACCATCAAGTCTTTGAAGTCTGAGAATTTCAGTCTCCCCGTCGCTGAACTCTGTGCATTGGTTAAGGAAGAAAACGGATTCATGGAGAAAGATAGCGGAGGCTTATCTATATTCCACCCAAGTAACCTAAACTATAATAAAATAATAATATTCTTTCAGAAGATTTAGATTTTACAGTTACAGTTACAATCTGTTCTGTCCGTATTTGTGATTATCGTGCAGAAAAAGGATACATCTAGAGCCAGGATGACTTGTCTGCAGATGTCAAGACTAGCACAACTCTTGATGTAATCTGGAAAAAAAAACAAAAATTTATTTTTTACATAATCCTATTAAAATAGCATGATGTTCAACCCTATATATTATAATGCTACGTAGAGTAAAATTCTAAAAATACCTTTTCCATGTATAATTAGTTACTTACTGTGGAGATCGAGGAAACGTTATATACCAACATAGAAATTCAGAGTTAAGGAATTTAAATCTAAATAAAGTTTAGATATATGGCCTCTTTCCTTAAGTTGAAGCAATCTATTTGTTGCACTTCGTGATAACTTTTTGTAATTGGCACGCTGACGATGATAATCAGGTAACTGACAAGTCCGTTTCGGTAATTATTTGGTAACTGACAAAATTATGATAATTATATAAATGTTGACATGACGATGGTAATAAATTAATAAATTACATCATAATGTAAATTAATTGGAAGCAAACAGATTGAAGGTAATAATCATATGAGATGCAACGATGTCATTTGGACGTATTCAAATAATCTTTCCCAACCTCTAAAGTGTGTTTTCGCTTTAAAGAAAACGGGACCGAGCAGTGCCTCACACAACTGTTTATTTCGTAAAATTTACTCTTTCCTTGTTGACATTATATGGATGTAATCAAATTGTTCTAAGTCAAGGCTGTAGAGAACTGTGGACATTTTACTGGCATCTTTCCAAAGCTTGTGGAATAATTGATTCACAACACACCAAAAATAATTTCTCGACATTCTTCCTCAATTCGTCAGAACTTTTGAATGCAGATGAGATGGTATAGTATCTGTTCTACGGAAGCAACAGGCACTATACCCATCGTTTCCTTTGTTCCCGTAAATGTAGCTTTTCTGTAACCTCTTTTTCCCCATGGCAGAGTTATAGGAAATATCAAATTGAATTTATTTAATTAAATATACTTCTGTATACCTGTACACCGCAAAGGAAACGCAGCCTTTGACATTACGGCATGGCTAAACACACGCACTCCTCTGCTTCTAAACTGTCACGTACCATTTGGCAAACAAGCCTCGAGCAGCTCATGAAGTTCAAAGGCGTTTACAGTGCGGTGTTCGTCGGCCACCTGGAGGAACACGGCTTCGTACTGCTGCAGGCTCTTCCCATCCACTGAGCCTCGGGCCTTCAGCAGCGCCGGCTTCACTAGGGACGGGGCTGTGTCTACTAACCTGAAAGTCAAAGTGATTATCGTAAATCAGAGGCCTGCGTCGCGTTTTTTATTTTCAAAGTAAACCCCTTAGCACAGAATGTCCTTATTAGTCTTGAGTTTATAAAAGATGTATCACTCTGATTCCCTGAGAACTCACTTGAGTTTGAGGGGCTTTGAGGAAAACACCCTCAGAGTGAAGGAAGATTCTTGCCCGGGCTCGAAGGTGGTCGGCAGAAGGATGTACCCCCCTTGCTCCAGCTGCACTCGCTCGCTCACCTGTCCGGATTTGAACGCTTTACCTTCCTTCTCGTTATAACTACAGTCGTCATCATTGCCAATTGTAGTACAAATAATCCGCAAAACATATGGTTCATGAGCTCTGATATAATATTCAGTAAAAGTAATATTCAGTAAAGAGAAAGACGGCAACTAACCTGTCGGCTGTTGGTGTACTGCGAATTGACGAGTGATTTGTTCTTCTTAAAGAAAGCTTTGCTGATGGAGTCGAGGCCATTCTTGGAGAGTGGGTAGGCTGTGAAACCTATTACCTGAAAACAGACATTGAGTATACACTAATACATCAACACTTTACAATATTTGTACTATAATTAAAAGATTAATTTATTTCCATTTCTAAAATTCTACAGAAATTTCCATTCTAAATCACTGATTGAAATATATATAAATATGTATTGTGAAATACCTTTGGCTCCATGACGGAATGTTGGTTCAGGGAAATGACGACTTCCTCCATGTCGCTCAGGATGAGGTGGAGCTGCGGGTTGATGTGGAAGGTGTCTGCGGGGAAATATGGGGTGAGAGCGGGTTCTTTGCCTCCTGATCACCGGTAAGATTGCTTCCTTCCTTAGTCTTTAAATATATTATCTTAATTCTTATAAGAATTAGGATGAGAACATACATAACAGTTTTCCAGTACTTTAAACCGTGACACAATCAGATTTTGAAATAACTACTTTCATTTTATTGTCATTCTTCTTAAACATAATTCATTTTCATTGTTCAAAGAGGCGTCACTCGACGCTTCCCCTCCCACCCATCATTGCTCGTCCGTGCCAGGCCACGCCCCTCACCTGCGTTGTTCCTGCACCCACCCGCCGTCACGCCCTTGAGCCACGTGCCCTGGTACACGCGGGACGTCCAGGGCGTCTTGTGGCGCAGGGAGGGCTCGTCCCGCGACGTCTCCCCGTCCAGGTGGATTACCTCCAGCTGCGTGAACGTCCGCACGAAGTCACTGTAGGACATCCTGTGGGGAAACAGATCAGGTTTTGATGTGCGTTGTTCAGGATATAGAACTGCGGCGTCTGATTGGGTTGGTTTATTAGAAGCTACATAATTGTATACGTTGCATATGCCTTTCATAAACGTCATTTCTGGATACCCTTCGGGCATGGGGTGAAACTTACCAGAACTCGCCCTCCGGTGTGAGCTTGAGGTTGAGTCGGTCCCTCTCATGCTGGTGGACGTCGTCCCACTCCGGGGCGTCGCGCCCTCTCCAGCTGCCCAGGTACTCCCCGCTGGTTCCAAGGGGAGTCCTCAGCCGCACCAGACTCACCTGCTCCCCACTGTATCGCTCAACCTGCAAACGTCAGGAATGGTAGAGTGTGCAAGAGTACAGGTGAACAGGCACTGGCGGTGTGAAAGAATGTCAAGGATAGAGCGATACATATATTTCGCTATGACTATATATGATGCTGGGTAGCTATGACTAGTACCTTTTCTATGGCGTAGATGCGGTAGTTGACGCCCATGACGATGCCATTGGCCAGTTTCTCCGGCTGCATCTTGGACTGGCCATGGTTGTGTCCAGTCACGACGGCGGTGACGATGGATGTGAGGTCAAGTAGTTTAGCCAGGAGACGCCCGCAAGTCGTGGGATCCGCCCGCAAGCTCACGCATTCCGCCACGCCGCCCGTGAAGTCCGACAAGCCGTCCAGGGATGTGCCATATTTCAGAGCCTCGTAGGACCCGTGGAGCCTAGAAGGAAGGGACTTTGTTTATCGGGAATTATACAGCAAAATCTACTTCACATTTCCATTAGAACTGTGAAGCCTCTTGACTCTTGACTGACGCTACTTGGGACAATCGAGTCGCAGACAGGTCTAACGTCATGTTGCTAAAGTACAGTTCTCTCGCTCAGTTCACTCGCTAAGCACCACTCACTTTGCATAGGCCTTCTCCAAGAGCGCAGGCCAAAACTGGTTGGTTGACTGCGAGTGGACGAACACCAGCTTTCCGTTGACGGTGGGAAGTCTGTCATCCACGAGCACCTCCCGCCACTCGCCGCACCACCACACGCGGAATCTGGGGGGCGAAGGCATTTTAGAACTGCATTTAGCCAGTCACAAATACTGGTACGTTTGGCGAATTCCTAAAGCAGTTCCAGTCAACTTTTCTTTCGGCAATTTCAGTAAAGATTCAACAGCAAGTAACATTTATATGGGTATGTGGGAGGAAAGTTGAGGTTATACAGATATTAGACGTTATACTGACATGATGAAGCAGGTTGAGTAGGAAATCCATTCAAACTAGCTCTACAACTTCAGAAAGAGTTAGAGCGACCGTTGCTATGCCACCTTAGATACAACGAGAACGGAGTGTGATTTGAGTACACCATTAAGTATTCCCGCCTCACCTAAATACACCGCAGTAGCCGGCCTCGGGTTGAAAGTCCTGGTCGGCTGGCACCACTCTGTAGAAGAGGCCCTTCGTCAGGTGGAGGCATCCCAGGCACGACACGAACCACCTGTCACCTGTGAAGATGGTCTCCATGAAACAAGATGCTCGATATCCTTCCAAATTAAAACGTGTGTGAATCGACAATATGGAGAGCCAACAGCAAAGCATCTCTTGAAAAAACACGGTTGTAAAGCATTTTTACTATCTCTCTTCTTTCTATCTATCTATCTATCTCTCCATCTTCTACTCTCACTCGTACTCTTACTCCTACTCCTTCTCCCTCTCCGACTCCCATTCTCTCTCCCACTCCCTCTCCCACTGTCACTCCCACTCTCCCTCCCACTCCCTCTCCCACGCCCACTATCAGTCACTCTCCCATTCGCTTTCCCTTTCCCACTCCAACTCCCACTCCCTCTGCTTCTCCTACTCCCACTCCCTCTCCCACTCCCACTCTCTCTCCCACTCCCTCTCCCACCCCCACTATCACTCTCCCACTCGCTTTCCCTTTCCCACTCCCTTTCCCACTCCCTCGCCCTCTCCAACTCCCACTCTCTCTCCCTGTCCCTCTCCTCTACCCTCACCCTCTCCCACTCTAACTCCCACTCCAACTCCTACTCCCTCTCCCACTCCCTCTTCCACTCCACTCCTCTCTCTACTTTCCACTCTCATTCCACTCCCACTCTGTCTATCTGTCTGTCTGTTTGTCTGTATGCATGTATGTATGTATGTATCTATGTATGTATGCATGTATGTATGTATGTATGTATGTATGTATGTATGTATGTATGTATGTATGTATGTATGTATGTATGTATGTATTTGTATGTAATATCTGTATGTATGTATGTATGCATGTATGTATGTATCGTATGTATGCATGTATGATCAGCTCAAACGCCTCATGTACAGAGCAACGCACAATGCTCTCAGATGGAAGGAGGAGAAAACGATACAATGGACAACCGTTAGAAGGCCGATTCTCATCATCACAGTGCTAGTAGGTACGATACAAAGAGACGCTTCATGTACAGAGCAACGAAGCTCGGGGGAGAAATCACCGTAAGGATCTCAATCAACAGAAACACACATCGAGGCATACAAGGAATGATACACGTAGGGGCGGAAATAAGTCAGACGAGAAAAAATGAATCCTCAAAAGATGAAAAAAGGCCAATAAAAAGCTACAGAACGAACAGGAGGATTGTGAATGGCACCAGTCAGGCACATGACATGGCCAATAAATTAATATGGAAGTAAAAAAGCTAATAAAACTATGAAGCAAACATAACCAATCGAATAGTTACAAGAAATGATAATAAGAGCGAGTCCCGTAAACAGGATGCCCGATTTACTGTCCCCGGAGGGCGGACCATGCCAACTGCCGCAGTGTTCATGAAAGAGAGGAACACCGGAATGAAGGGAGGAAAAATCACTAAACCGTTGCTAGCACAGCAGCATGAAGGGTGCCAATCTTGTATGCTTACCCTGACGCGAGCAAGAATCTCATCTCTATCTCACCTATCAGTCATCACTTTCTTACGTTTCTCCTCTGCTTCCTCTTCACTCTCCTCATCGTATCGTCTCACGCATAATCTCTCTCTACTTTAACTATCTTACTTCTGTCATTCGAGCGACTACTCTATTTTCTATCTCCATATCTCTATCCTCACTCATCTATCTATCCTATCTTCTATCTTTCCCTCCTATTACTCTAGTATCAACTCTCTATCTATGTCTCTCAATTTTTTCGTGCTTTCCTTTCCTCTCTATCTCTGTTTCTATCCCCATCTCTCTCACTTATTTGTGTCTCATTCTCTATTACTATATCTATTTATCTTTATCTCACCCTCTATCTCCCTCGTTATATCAGCCCCCGATGCAGTAAAAGGGTGAACATGCGCTGGCACCACTCACCTAGCTTGCCGTGGACGATGTCGAACTGGTAATTTTCTTCGGAGATGAAGATCGGATTCTGCACCAGTTCCTGCAACACGTCAGAGGCTGAATTAATTTTCCGTCAAATTAACCATGGTGTATTTTTTGTTCATTTGGTTTCATTTATTCATTTATTCGCTGTTTGTGGGAAAGGCGTGTGTGTGACAGAATAAAGGAGACTGTGGGAGTTTTGCAATTATCGTTTAGGTACGTAATCTTTCGGTACGAAATCATTTTGGAGTTGTCCATTCATATTCATTCTGGTGCATTCGTCTCGAAGACTTTCGTTCATGATATAATTACAAAAAAAAATGAAAGTTGGAAAACGAAACCCACTTTTCATAAATGAGGGAATCTGTCCCATGAATTAGACCGAATTAGCCTTGGTTTGTGAATAATGGAATGGAAGGTTGTCTACAGGCAGGTAAAAAAAAACGAACAAAAAAGTTAAGGAACTACTATGGGCAAAATGTCTGCCTTCCATCACCTCTCCGCGGAAGGACTGCGGCTCAATGACTCCGCCCTCTTTTTTGTCATCATTCACTGTCAATTTGCCTGTCCGTTTTCCCTTCACTATTTTTCTCTTTCCTCTTCCTCTTCTTTTTCCACTCTCCTCTCTCTCTCTCTCTCGTCTCTTCTCTCATCATCTCTCTCTGTCTCGTCGTCTCCTCTCTCTTCTCTCTCGATCTCTCTCATCTCTACTCTCTCTCTCATCTCTCTCTGCTCTATGTATAGTATATATCATATATAATATAATATATATAATTATATATATAGTATATATAGTATATATATATATACTGTAATATATATAGTAATAATATATAGTATATGATATAAATATATTAATAGCTATATATAATATGAATATATAATATATATATAATATAATATAATATACATTATAATATATCATATATAATATATATATATATATATATATATATAAATATATATATTATACATATATCCCCCCTCTCCACCATTCCCCCTTCTCTCCTCTTCTCCTCTCTAATTTCCCTCCATGCTTCCTTGCCTCAATATCTCCTCTCCATCTCCCGCCTTTCTTCTCGTTCTTCCCAAACCTCTGCCTTCCTCAGCTCTTTCTTCCCCTTTCTCTCTATTTCTTTCCTTTTCCCCGTCATCCTCGTCCTTACCTCTTTCGTTCCCTCTCGTCCTACTCCATGCTGTAAATTCACCTTCCTTCCTTCTATCCTTTCTTATTCCTCCTCTTAACCTGTCCTCTCTCCCTTCCCCCCATCCTCTTTCCGCTCTACCGCTCTCCTCACCCCTCTCTCATCGTTCTAGCTCCCTTTTTCCCTCTATCCCCTTCTCTCTTCCTCTCAACCTCCCTGCGCGCTCTCCTTTCACCCGCGTTCCTCTCTACTATTTCATTCTCCTTCCCACCTCGTCGCTCTCCCTCCCTTTCTCCGCCCCCTCGTCGACTCTCGTTCTAACCGTCCCTTTCTCCTCCATTCTCCTCTATCGTTCACCACCCCCTTGTCTCCTTCCCATCCTTCTTCTCCTTCTTCTTCCTCCCTGCCGCCTCTCCTTCACACCTGCTTTCTTGCGCCTATGGCTGATCAATCCGTCCCTGCACGTTCGTCTCCATCTCATTCCCCCCCACCTATATGCGTATCGGTTCCTAGAGGCCTCGCTTTCCTCCAAACAATCGCTCCTTCTTCATACTCTCGTGCCCTCTTCCGACCTCTCATTCACCCTCTTTCTCCTCCACTTCATCCTTCGCCCACTTCGTCCTCATCTCCTTTTCTCCCTCCCCCTCTTCACTATCATAATCTAAGCCCTCCCTTTCTCCCTCCATCCTTCTTCCTTCTCTCTGAACCTCGGACCGTCGCTCTTCTCGCAGGGCTCCGCCCTAACGGATCCCACGAAGGCCCGGCAGCGGACACTGGTCGAAACATCTAACCAACTTTAGCGACGAGCGCGGAAAAAAGTCACCCCGCTCACGCGCCTCGCGCCGAACAGGAGAAAACATAAAGCAAAGCCCGTGAGAGCGCCTCTTGGAACCAGTTGTGTGTGTCGATAAACGTTTGTATGGCGGGGCGTTGAATGGCCACGAGGGGCAGGGGATCGGAGGAAACCCGAGAAGAATGGAGGAGGTGAATGCCAAGGGGTGGGGGATCCGATTGACAGCGGATTATAGCCGTGATGAAGGTGAGTATGGAGTCTATGGCCTATGCGGTTGCGAATCGCGGTGTGAATTGAGCGAGATTCGTCAACGCCAACCCTGCTGTTAATCTTCCGAGATTATTCTTCGGAGGTTTAAGAATCTGTCGTAAAAAAATGAATATCGTATCTAGTATTGATTGGGTGTCCTCTTAAACTTGAAACTTATCCTGTGTAAAATGGCCGCGACAAAGTTTGCGGAGGAATTTGAGGTTTATTTAATCCTTCAAAGTCTTTAGTACTTATTTTGTTTCTCTCTTCGCATTAATTAGACAAAGCAGTATTAAATCATCATCTTAGCAATACGACTAAAATAGGAGATATGCAAATATAAGATAACAGGATAAATACTGATGATGATATTCTTGTAGCTTATGAATAATCATGGTTATAAAAAATGAACAACTGCGATATTAAGACACAGAGATTCAAATAGTAACAGCAATGATGATGATGGATATCGATCCCGGTTGGATGTTGTGGCCAAAGTAACATATAAGTAATTGAGATGAGCAAATTACATATCGATTGATAAATGAGATATAATGAGTTAGTTATGCAAATAAGCCATTAGTTAATTAAAAGTAACTAGATTAACTATGAACTACTTAAATTAAAAAATATATCATATCAGTGACACTGCAGCATTTCATTCGATGGAACAAAAAAATGTAATACAAAAGAAATGAATTAATTGAAAAAACAACAAACAATAGAATGATATATACCATACATGATTGATAGATACAATAAACCTGCCTGTCCAACTGTAATATGAATGATATAGCTATGATATGAATAATATATATCGATACAGGTATAAAATAGTAATGAAACTAATAGGCACTACTAGTAAACAACAAGGCATGTGACTAACGATATAAGATGATAATAACCAATAAAGATAGGTTTAGGAATAGAGATGATTACCTATGAGCAATTCATCTATACCTAACGTAATATGACACCCATAATAATAATACAACAGAATACTAACTGCATTACGATAAATATACCTAAGTAAGGGATTGCTAAGAAATTGAAATGAAATTTGATAGATTGATGCATTATTGATCGCTACTGATAAAGGTAATAGGTGATAATCCGACAGCTGCTGGCAGGTAATATGACTAATGATAATGAGATTGAAACGCATGCAAGTTGAATTAAGATTAATAGAACATAACGGCAATTATATCTAATAATTACATTATACATGATAACTATAGATAGTATAATAATGAATCTGCAATTTTTGCAAATTTAATGCCAATGCCTGCTCAATGAAAGAGTGAAAAAGAGCTGAGGCTGAAATGACACTAATTAACAATAATATTGCATCACATAACGATCAACAGCAAATAGAATTATATAACTTCCCTCCTCATCTGACCTCACATTGACGCATCCAAGTTTATTTTCCTGCATATCCGCCCCACCCCATCGACCCCTTCCCGGCTTATTCGCCTACCCACGGCGCCAACTTTATTGGCTCTCTCCTCCTTTCTAAGCCCCACACCGTTAACACACCCTAACCCCAGACAACCCCAAAAACAACCACCCTCGATCGGAACCAGAAACAACCTCGTATACGCACGACCACACCATCTGCAAACCAGCCTTCACTCAGTTTTCTCCCCCAACACCACATAGTCCTCTTCCTCCTTCCGCGCATGTAAATCCGCAGCACACTACCTTTCTTCATAGCCGAAGAGTAACAAATTAACTAAAATTCGCGCGTCCTTCCCACCTCCGCACAACCCTCATCCCCCAACTCTCGCAGGGACCCCTCCGTACTGCCTCCGTCCGCCCCCCCCGCTTGAACATTATTCGACGCCGCTCGATCCGGTGAACACCCCACGCATCATCACCATCCTGTCCCCCCTGTGTCTAATCTTATCTACTACTCCTAAAACATCTACCTTACATGGTCTTTACCTTATTCACCCTCCTTTTTTTCCATTTTTTGGCGGGGCCGCGGAGCGGGTATACCGGGCCCTCTCTACATTAAATCCCCATCCTCCATCCTCAATCACGACTTCACCGCAAACTAATTGATTAACTTCGATATTACATCGACTTTTCGACGCATGTTCGATGATCACATCCTGTCCCCTTAACGGCGTGCTCTGACTACTACCCAAAGCCGCCCACAAATATCGCCAGTTAGTAAACAATTGATCTGCAAGTGATTCATGAAGATAAAATGCTTAAGCCATATTAACTCAACACCATGTCAAACCTGAGGCTTACATGATATTATCATCACCTCTCGCCTATCCATCATTTATCAATACATTATTCCCATCTTATCACTCATCATCACTATCATAATTACCAAATACTCATTATGCATCCATCTACTTCCACCCTTATTCGCCACATACATAACACTAATACATTTCAACATTATCATTCACATTGTTGCTGTCTTGCTCTTGCTAATCATTACTCATTACCATTACCCAATCTGATCAAAATCTTAATATTAACATTCAACCATTATTTCCATCCTTCTTACCATTCTTACCCAAACTAAGCTCCCTCACGGTCGCCCTACCTCACCCTCCCTACCGATCAGTCGGGCGCACAAAGAGTGCTCATGGAAACACCTTCGCATTTCCAAACGCAAGTCATCTTCCTAAGACACCTTCCATTACACACTACCAAACAGCAAACCTTTCCTCCTGAAACCTGTACTCTCCCCTATCTTCCTTTGTTTCTCTTTCTCCCTCCCTCCCCTCTCTCTTCTCTCTCTCTCCTCTCGTCTCTTTCTTCTCTCTCTCTCTCTCTCTCCTCTCTCTCTCTCTCTCTCTCTTCTTCTCTTCTCTCTCTCCCTCTCTCTCTCTCTCCTCTCTCTCT